TGTTGCGAATTTGTGTATTTATTTTGATTGTCAGTGTAAACAGGTGCAGGATAATTGAAAATGCCGTTAGGTTAAATATTAAATAACAATTTAATTGCATTCGTGATGGCAAAATAAGCGAATGAGTGAGTGAATCAACGAATGCATGAATGAATCAATGAATGCTGCCAATATTGGCTTTGTTTCACAGAGAATATAAGATATTTGCAAAGCTTGCAATTGAATTATATATGAATTATTTCAGTATTTATTGAGTAGAGCTCGACTAGTTTGTTTTATAAACAATATAAGAGATTGGCAGAGATTCGATTTGAATTATACATGAAATATTTATATTGAATCACAATGGCAAATGATTGACTCGAAAATACCCTAGCCATGAGTGGTCGAAGTGTTATATGGGATATGCGCATTTATAGCTTGCCTTTTTATACCCTGAACCCATTTTCAATGGGAAATCAGGGTATAATGGTTTTTTTTTTTTTTAATTATTTTGAAATACCCTTATTTAGAATACAAACAAAATTTAATTGAATTGAATAAACAAAAAATCACTTTAGTCCTATAGATTCAATGACTGAATGAAGGTTATCAATATAGACTTTGTGCAAAAAGAGAATAAAATATATGTAGTTTAAATACATAAAATAGGTATGGGCAGTGTTCGACTAAAGAATACCCGATCTGACTATTGGTTTGATTTAATTGAACGCCTTGACCTTAATATATGTATATGTATGTTAATTTAATAAATATTCCATACATAATATATATTTATTATATTGAATCAGGGACTCGCATACTTATTCATGCGGTCTGGCAGAGAAGCTGATGAGCAATAGTTTTGTTGTACCAAGGCAGCGAGTACTACGGTAGTTAACAAATTCATAAATAACATCTTGACCTTTAATAACTTAGACACTATCTTGCTACCTACAGGGTATATAAGTTACATATGTAGTATTCAAGAAGCGTTCCTCTACTTCGCATATGCAAAGCTCTACTATTCACATTAAAAAACCAACACAATGACATGCACCCTTATCCGCCACCTTTGGATTATACAAACTATCCATTCCAGAAGACACACTCCTCCATCCACCTGTTTTAGCCTTCAATCAACTGGGTGCTGAATCTTTTTCTTTGCTGGCCTAAAAATAGCAATTCATCAACTGTAAACAGACGAGACATGGAGCCGACATGTGACGTCAGATTGAGGCTTGGCTGCCACCCACTGTGACCGCAAGTCAACGAGGTGATTTGCATGCAACAACAACAACAAGAACAACAACAACAACAGAGTAATAGCAACAACAACAGTGACTTCACATGCGGCTGCTAGATTAGGCGCTGATTGCTTCGATTGGGCTCCAGAATGGAGCTGCGCCTGTTTGCATTTCGGGCCATCGCGTCAAGTGAAGCCCTCGCCATCCCCCCGCGGAGAAAGAAAGAAACAAATAACGCACAGAGTAAAGTAAAATTCGGCAGTCAGATTGCCATATTCTCATTTACATTCACATTCGCATTCGCATTCGCATTGGCATTGGCATCGCAATCGCATTTGCCATTCGGAATGCGTTACGCAAATTGAAATTCGCTGGCTGAAAATTTATGCAACGTCGCGTTCGCTGTTGCCCAGCATGGTGGATGCATTGGAGATGCTGTTGGTGCAGAGCACCACTTGGCTACAGTTGCCTCCACCAATCGCCAGAGTCCGAACCGCAACGACATGGTACATGCTGTATGCTGTATGCTGCATGCCGCATGCTGCATGCTACTGCCAACTGGTAACTGAGAAATTTATGCTTTGTTGTGTCCGGCGAAACATGCAACATCAATTCTCGTTAACTTTTCATGCACGGCTGCGCCGTGGACACACTCAAGGGAATAAAACTGATACCAAATCGAAGTAAACAAAATACGCATTTCAAATAACAGTACTGAGCTCCTCGGGCGCTGCTCATTTCTTTTTCTTCAATTGAAAATAGCCTATAATAGTTATGATTATGGCCAACACTGTCAACACCAGAAATATGATTTTCGATAGGTCGCAAGTGAATTTCGAAATTCCACGACGCTCCGATGGACTCCTGTTCCATTCACCACCCTCGACGCGCGCCATCTCGGACATTTCGTCAGCCAATATATAAATATATTTGAAATTTTGAAAATGTTTTAATTCAATTCAATAAAAACTATGCATAAAACTAAATACTTACACTTTGATCAGATATACTTGAGTCCATGTTGGATTTCTAGGAGAATGCATGAAAATCTTAAGGCTGAAGAGCTTTAGCTCAAAGCTCTATTAGACTGAAAGCTTTTATTAACAAACGGATCCGGTTTATCCATGCTTTTGAGTAATCATTTGAAAGTTTTACAATTTTTTTTTTTTTTTAATTTATNAGGACAATGCTCCATGCCACAAGGTCCATATTTTAACTGAATTTTCTGGGAATATTGAAGTCAATACATATGATTGGCCACCTCAGCGCTCTGATCTCAATATTATAGAGAATGTGTAGGCTTACGCAAAAGTAAAACGTAGCTTAGACTTATCAAGAACGCCCAAGGAGACGGATTGCTGAGGTTTGAGGACCTTAGCAGGATTTTTCAATAGAAACATTACAAAATTTGGTTAGATCGATCCCTAGACGCTTGCAGATAGTAAAGGAGGGTTTAATTCTAATTAATATTTTAGTTACTATTACCATTGTTAAGTTTTTGTCTCACTTTATTTAATAAATATTAATGTCAAAATACTTTTGTCCACCCAAATAATGACAATCTGCCATGCATATAATTATAGAAAAATAATGAGTTATGTTATCACTGCAATATTTTGGTCATTTATAGCTTTTTATGTTTGCTCTCTCTGAAAAATATAATGGGTACCGTTACCTCTCTCAGCACGCATAAATAAGCGGTTAGAGTGTTTGCAATGCGTTGTCAAAATACTTTTGTCCTCCATTGTACATACATATATTAGCGCAGTATGTTGCAGTTATCGATAACTTTCAGACATAGAACGCAAATAATTATTGATCGTTTCTCGATGTCCGCAAATAAATTTCATTGCTGACAGAGCCAGAGAGACCGAAGAAGAGACCCAGAGACCTACCGAAGAAGGCGAAGGCCTTTGTATCCAGTGGTTTACTCTATGAGTCAAGTTTTAATTTCATATATTCTCAATGATTAACCTTTCATTCTATACGCTCTGTTTGCGAACTCAACCGATTCAGCTTATATTCACTCGCATTCACTCTCGCTCTGAGAGACCGAGCCTTCGATTCTTTTCGTTTTGCTTTTCTGTTGAACGCCTTGAACTTACATATTCGTGTTACGCTCTTTGCACGAACATCAATTAGGGAGAGATATGATACCCTAGGCTGTCAGTAAAGCCACACAGTTGATAAATCATGCATATGTACTTTTCTTTGAATTCATTCATCTTCCAGTGAAGAATGTGATGAAGTCAAGCAATTATCCACCATAGCAACCAGTGTTGAAGAAGTCACGTTGCATATTATTTTATCGGAATACAGCACACATATTCAAGGACTTTGATATGACCTTTGGAATGACATTCTATTTCATACATATTGGTATACATATACTTCAAACTAATTTCAGAAATAACGTAATATCTCAAACAGATTTTTTCTATGAAAATTTCACTATCTACTTATTGGTCTTATTTGATCATTCTCTACATGCATATAAAAGCAAAAACTGATAGAATTTTATTAGTTATCAGCAACAAATTTGCAGTATCGTCACTTCTAAGATATTGTAGAAAAAATAGTGGAGTCCTGGGAAGTCCTTGATTTTTTACCAGCTATGCTCTTCGTACCACAGAAAAGCAATATGAAGTCAATATCTAGCCATTGCAATATTCTACTAAAATTTTTTTTTTTTTTTTTGCACAATTGAACAATGTGTACAGTCGATTTGGCAGGAACATAAACCACAAATGTTTTCGTTTTAATTTGCTCACACACACACATGCACACAGGCGAAATGGGATACACAAACAAAGATAGCCTTGGGCGTCTGCTTTCTGCGAAATGATATGCAAAGCATGGCCTGACCTTCGTGACGGGGCGCCCAGCGACACCTAGTCGCTGCAGTGCGGGGAGGGGGAGGGGAAGGCCATTCAATAAAAATGTAAATTAACTTATCAATTACAACGCCAAACAACAATAAACTGTGAGCGCCAACTGGATTGGGGGCGTGGCTGTGGGGTAGGGTAGTTGCGCGCGTGCCCCACACAAATATCGGAGGGGGGGAGTCGACTTCATCTTGTGGCCAATGTTGAGTGCTAGGCATTTGGCAAGGGGCATGGGGCATGGGACATGATGGGGCACGAGGCAGGGGCCATGGGGCACTCTTAACGGTTTTCTTATGCAAATGTGGCAACGGCCAACGTTAAAATATTCCTGCTCATAATTTTTATTTCCGTTATTCAAGTTTCAAGATTGTATTGCACACTTTTTGGGCATCGTTGTCGCCTGGCCAGGCCAAGCCAGGCCAGCCAGGCCAGCTCTGGCCTGGCCGAAAACTCGTTTCAAATGCCAGCCCACGCCCTTCCCCTCGAATTCTTTCCTGTTCTCGTTACGAAATTTGCCTTGCTAATAGACTCGAAGTGGCCCGAAGACCGCTTGGCGTCTGCTCTTTGCGGTGCGAGCAGTCAAAAGGACACAGCCTGAAGATAGCGCCAACGTGACGTCTTGAAGGACATAAGTTACAACTGCGGGGGGTGCATTTATTTTAATATGTAGCTGATAAGAGCCGTAGCCAGATATCTTAATGAGATAAGGGCCCTGTTAACGGCGACTCGCAGCGTGAACTTGAATAAACAGTCTCTCTCTCTCTCTCTCTCTCTCTCTCTCTCTCGCACTCTCAAGGTGAGCCCGGGAATCCCTAAGCTCGAGTGGAAGTGCGAGATTTAAACGCAAACACGATTGTCCTTGTACCAAGTTAAAGCGGGCAAAGGCAAATAAGTTTACACATTTATTGTACACCACAGTTACTTAAAATATATAACCAAAAACACAATAAGAAGGATTAGTGCCGTGCAACCCAAAGCTATCATTACCCACAATGCGATGTAGTCACGATCACCACTGCTACAAATACCACGCGTAGCACTTGAGAAAAACTCCATTCTACAATAAGTAACGAGCATTAGCGATCATATATCATCCATCCTCTGTCTATATTCTGTTGTAGCACTGATCTTGCTCACCTTAGGTAAGATTGTATTTGGCCTTTTTCTTCACTTTGTGATAGACTTTTATAAGATTAAACATTTTAAATCCAATTTTGGGGTTGCAAGAAAATCTTGTTGAGTTGCACAAAAATTTTGCCAAAGACGGAAATTACAATTCGAACAACTTTTTCAGTTCAAATCTGATCGATAGCCTAAATAAAACTGACAGAAATTTAATCCCATACTACATCAATTAAATATTTGATTTAGTTAAAAATATTTCATATTTGTATTCTCGATTGCATTTGCAATAGTTAACTATTGCAATATTGAATAAACGATTCAAATTTATTACAGGTATAATAGAATGGAAAATCTTATTCAACAGTGTACCACGAGCAGATCTAGTATGCCCATCTTTCCGTCCACCATCCGCCCACCCTTCCATTATGAACGCAGCATTCTCGTAATTCACAAAAGGTAGAGACTTAAGATTTAAAATACTCATATATACGATATACACAGCTTATTATATAGATTTTTAAAACCTCATCCTCTTCATTAATTATCGATAATGTACAATGATTTATAATGTTGATTGGTTACAATAAAAGCAGCAGATTGAATCACTAAGTTCTTTTAATTAACACAGGAAWTTTCTTACTTCTTGTTTTGGTAAGAACTGCCTCATCCTTCTATTAAATTTGTAACAAAAATGTTTTTAATATATACTAAAGCTTTACTTAATTCAGCCACCTAGAAATCATTTTATTCATTAAGTGCATTTAAAACTTAAGTTTTCAGAGTCCTGATGATATTTTATATATTCAATAACTTCTTCTGCTAGAAGCAAAACCATTGAAGGTGGTCATTTCAATGATGTCTTATTCTCAATGATGTCAATATTCTGTTGTTTCTCTAGTTGATTTGTCGTCAAATAAATGAAAAACATATTGAATATGAATTAGTGTCTCTTGGCACATAATTCCCATTAACGATTGCTGTAAAACTCGATTTGAATCTTAAATAGGCGAAGAGCTATCTATACCTACCAAATTTAGGCACATTTCCCGCATAGCTGAAGGCGTCTCCATTTGCCATTTGCTACTTGCCACATATGTGGGCGTCTAGGCCGGGCACACAGTTGCCACAGTTTTGGGCCGTAGTGCCGCTTTTATCGCTTGTTGCAGCAAGCGGCAAGCAGCTCTGGAATGGCAAGATATACTCATCACGTAAGCCGCCTACAGCATTTTCACACAATGCACTGGTGCCCCACTCGCACCGCCAACACCTTTCGGACCGGCCCAGAATTGAACCATCAGAACGTATGACTATAATCACGAGTCGGCAGCTCTCAGTTCTAGCGAGGAGTCCGGCACTCTACTCTGCAGCTACTGCAAATGCGAGCGCGGCGAAGCGAGGCATAGGCCGGCTGGACATAGAACCAGAATGATTCCCAACTGCTGATGGTCATGCTGGTGCATTTTCATTTTCACACCACTTTTGGGCCAGAGTGGCAGACAAATTATGGCCACGACTGTGACTACTTGTTGGACCCGGCTGGCCTCTTAGAAGAGAATAACTGCCTGTGCTGCGGCTCCGGCGATAAGCATTTGCGTGATTAATGAAATTTGATGCCCCGGCTAGGAGAATGGCGCCCCAAACAGCTATGCACGTCGAGTGGAAGTAGCTAGCAAACAGGTAGCCGATGACCAAATACACTATATATGCATAATACTGAAAAGTGATTCCTAATATTAATTAGATAGGTAAATAAGTATTTAATGTAAAATAAATTGCTCTTCTTATTTATAGAGTGAATGAGTATCGATATACTATCAAGTTAAGTCCAATAAATAATAATAAATAATGTAATAATAAACTTGATGGATCGGTTAAGTATATTGCTAAGAGTTATTTTAAAGTTAAGTCAAAAAATTTCTGTACAAATTAATTCGTAATCGATATTGAGTAATGGAAAATATTCAATTCTCTTCGATATGAAGTGAAAGGGTCAAGTCATTCTTACAAGTAATAACAGTAATATTAAAGACGTTTTCCTTATTGATATTGAGAAATAGATAAGCATAAGTCTAATCAATTATTTTCGATGTCAAGTATGGGTGAATAAATACAAAGAATAAATATGAAGAACGGGTGAAAGTATTCTTAATACTCGATATATTACCTAGTAAAGTAAAACGAAGAATGTTTGAAAATATTTTCAATACTCGCTATATTCCCTAGTAAAGTACGAAAAACCAATCAATTAAGAAATGAATAAAGATAATAATAATAATTCTAAAAATCAATTTCGAGATTTCTCCGTATTAATTATCCTCCATATACTTATAATACTTAAGCTGAAGAAAACAAAATATATATAATCTTACTGAAATTAAGGAAATGAACAGATGAACTCAAAGACTCGAAAGACTATTCTGTCCTCTTGCCAGTTATATAAAAACTATTATACCCTTTCTCAATGGGTTCCAGCGCATTATAAGGAAGGAAAAAGGCGACGGCGAAGGCGAAAGGCAAGTTAAGGCTTGCACACCTTTCGACAAACAATTACACGTTGGGTCAGCATGACTTATGAATATATGGGCATGCACTGTGGGCGGGCCAGCGCCCGTTCCACAATGTCTAATTGGCCGCTCAGTGGCATGGTGGAGTCGTAGTCCAATTAGAATTCGTAATCGCGCACGCTTTGCCCATTTGAATTTATATCGAAATTTAATTTAATTAATAGACCGCCAAGTGGGCCAATACGCAAAGTTGGCCCAGGTGCCGTTGGTGTTGACCACGGCCATAGCCAACAAGCCAACTAGCCATAGCCAAAGCCATAGCCGCAGCCGTAGCCACAGCCATTCTTTGCCTATCGCAGCGGGAAGTGTCAAACAGTCAACTCAATAACTGTTTATTTTACTGGCATATTTTCAATTTCCATCTGTGGCCTACTTGAAATTGGCGGCTGAGTGTGAGTCAGGCAGCCCTGGAGTCCACGTCGAGGCCCCTGTTGAACTGCAAGTCAACAGCTCTGTTGCCGGCGAAATTTGAGCCTCTTTGCATGTGGGCCAATACGATTTTTTATATATTTTGTGTTGGCTCTTATCGTCATTTGGCCATGCATTTTATTTGCTTATTCAATTTGATTTCATCTAGCGCTGTTTGCTAATCTCAAATAGATAGTTGCATAAGGATTGATGGTTATGGCACGGCAGGCGTTGAACCTTTTAGGTTGGCAGACAGTTCAAAAAGATATTTATGTCTATATCTTGTGTTAAGTTGGAGTAGACATTATAGGCTAGGTAATACCTAGTAGGTATCTATGAGTTGGAAAGTAAATATTTTACATTGGATATTTCATTATAGAATAAGCTTTTTCGGATAGATCCATACGTTGAGCCTATTTAACATATTCTATTGTAGTATATAGTATATGTAGTATGTGTAGCTTTTCATCTCATATCCTATATCGCAACTCGCATTCAAGCAAATGCTATCTGCAAGAATTGCTCAACTCAGCTACTTCCTCATATCGGGCTTTATTTCCATTCACTTTCGATTGATTTGCATTCAAATTTCTCAATTTCGCCATCTCTCCTGGCTGCTGCCCACTTGATATAGTGATCGATACACAACGCACAACTGGCCATAACGGGCCGACATACCTCAGTGTGCCGCCCACAGCTAAGCCTACACGCCCATTTGCTACCGTTTAGCCAGATTGATTTCATGCCAGCCGCTGCACGACTCCGATGATCATTCCCATTTCCAGTGGCAGTCCGCACAACGCCCACAAATGTGGGCGAGCCGCATTTTCCCATCGCCGGGCCATCAATCAAACTCGAGTGCCAGTGCGAGGACTAGAACTGCACTTCACTTCGGCCCAAAACGGGCTGAGGGGGGAGCGCAGGGGCACCCTGAGCGCTTTTGGTTGTTAAAATTGAAGCGGCATCATTTTTCATATCCGCGGCAAACAACTGCCGCAAAAAAGCCAAACAAATAAAAGAAAACACAATATGCAGTCGTATGGAAATCGAGTAGCAGCTAACAGCGGGAGCCACGTTCAGGTCCAACCTGGAGCTCGACCTGGACCTGCAGCTCGAATCTGTTGAGCTCGATGCGAATACGTGATCGCCGTTTGTTGCCTTTCTTTTGTGCGCGCCTCCGAAAAACGCTTTGTTTCTCTCTCTCTYTTTTTATATTTTGCATCAAAACCAAACTAGCAGCTCCCGCTGCCGCCCTCTGCAGTGCGCCCCGCCCGGCGTCCCTCCGGCCAGGTCCACTTGCTTTGTGTGCACAGCGAATGTTTCGATGCGCGCGAATTTGTTGCAATTTCTCATTGTCAGCAACGCGTTCGCCGGTAAAGTTTGATTAAACGCTCCACGGGAATTCACTTTGCTGGCTCTCGTTTCGCGTTTCGTGCTTCGCGTTGCCAGTTTCCAGTTGCTCGGGCGCTTGCTAAATACCCTGTAGCCATTGGAAGTCATTTACAAATACGGCTGAACTGCAGCTGTGGCAATGCAACAGACAGTTGCCTGAATTTGTGTGAAAACCTGAGTCGATCCAGAGCATTTATAGTTTGGAAATTTATTCTCACACTTCTGTTGCGGCCAGACGGTAGAAGAGTTGCACAATATTATTTAAAGTAAAACTCAATTACTTGCTAATATTTCTACACCCATATTTAAGTGAAATTATATGAGCTCTAGTTGGACAATAGAACAAATATTTATATAGACTTAGAAAACAATATTGAATATGAAATAAATATATGACTATACAAATTAATTTTATCTACATATTATCATTTTTATACACTTTTAATGTATTTTATATACCAATTATATATAATAATATACGTTTAAAAATAAAAAAAAATCAATTGAATATTATATAAAGTTATTAATACATTCATATTAATTACATATATCTGTAATATATGTATACATTTTTATACTGCTTCATACATATTTCATATATCGACCAATTATAAATAATAATATACGCTTAAAAATCAATATTGAATATTTATTTAATAACTATACATTTTTAAACATATTTAATATTAATCTAAAATATATATATACATATATACCATTTATTTATATTAATAAAAATCATTATTTAATC